CACAGAAAATCCCCAGACCACATGGCTTCACTGGTAAATTCTACCGAGTATGTAAAAAAATGACTATCTTTATCAAAATCTTACAAAAATGGAATAGCGGGAATACATTCAAAATCATTCCATGAGGCCTGTATTGCCCTGATACCAAAACAGAATAAAAACAATACAAGAACAAAAATAATAATAATAATAAAAATGCAAGAACGAAAAAGTCTAGTTTGTCTGTTTCCTTTCCCAGATTAGGGAAGTTTTCTGGTATTATTTTCTCACATAAACCTTCTGCTCCTTTTTTCTCTTCTTCTGGAACTCCTGTCATACCAATGTTAGGATGTTTGATGGAATCACTGAGTTCTCCCAAGTGTATTCTTGTGTTCCATAATTCTTTCTTTTTTTTGAAGATTTTATTTATTTATTTGAGAGAGAGCACATAAGCGGGGTGGGGGTGGGAGTGGGGGTGGCGGGGGCAGAGGGAGAGGGAGAAGCAGACCCTCACTGAGCTGGGAGCCTGATGCGGGACTCGATCCCAGGACCATGGGATCATGACCCAAGCTAAAGGCAGACGCTTAATGGACTGAGCCACCAAGTGCCCCACCATAATTCTTTCTCTTTTGTTCAGCTTCATTACCTTCCATTACTTTGTCTTCTGGATCAGATTCATTCCTCTGCTGCTTCTAGGCTGCTGTTTCCATGATCAGTTACCGCAGTCCTCATCTCTCACTGATTCTGTTTTATTCTCTTATCTCTGTAGTAAGGGCTTCCCTGGAGTCTTCCGTTCATTTCTCAAGCCCAGTGAGTGTGCTTGTGATCGTTGCTTTAAATTTTCCGTCACATGTTACTTACATCTGTTTTGCTTGGATCTCTGGCTGTGGCCTTATCGTGTTCTCCTACTTGGGATGAATTCCTCCATCTTGGTATTTTGTCCAAGATGATTCCTCCTCCTCTCTGTTAGAAAAGCCTGTTACGTCTCCTGCTCCTGAAAACAACGGCCTTCTGAAGAAGAGGCCCTGCACTGCCCAGGGCCTGGCCCTTCGGGGAGTGTCTCAGGTGTGCGCTGCACGCGCTCTGCAGCTGCGGTTCGGCTGCCCTGGCCTTCGGGCCGGCGGTCTGCACGGGCTCTCCTTGCCCGCCGTGGGCAGCGTTTGGTCCCTGGCCCGAATGTGGTGAGTTCTCATGAGGTGTGCTAGGGTCTGTTTGTGAAATGAGACCTGTCGGCACCTCCACCAGAACTGAGGCTTCGCAGAACTCCCTGGTTGGGAGACGCGGGGTGGGCAGGGGTTTCTGTTTGTCTTCTGGAGGAGGGGCCCGCCGCTCTGCGACTGAGGCAGGCTTGACGGGGAAGGGCTTTCCTGGCGGTGTGTGGGGTAGGGCGTGGGACCCGGTATAAGCGGGGTACGCAGCCGGTGTGGGCGCTGTGCTGTGTACTGCAGGTGGGTCTGTGTTTATGCTGAGGGGCGGGGAGGGAAATGGGGCCAGCGGGTACCTTTGTACCCAGAGAGGCATCTCTGTAATGCTGCCTCTCAGGGATGCACTCCAAGAAGAGCAAATGAAAATCTTCCTGCCAGTGCCCCCAGGCATTTCTCAGGTTGCTATTTCCACACTGTGTTCCCTTGGGTTGTTTGCCTGCTCTCTCTCCAGCAATAGGGAAGTGCCCTCTGTGTTCTATCCCAGCCAAACCCACTGGCCTTTAAAACTCCCGGCCTTGAGCCCCACCGGTTGCAAGAAGTCACAGAATTCAGCCCCTCTCATTTTTGAAGCCAGTAACTTGGGGGAACCCTTATGCATTCCCTTTTGTGCTCCTCTCTCACCCTTTTTTGCATCCAGGGCTCCCTCTCCTCCACAGCAGCCACAATCCCTTTCTGCCCTAACCCATGTCTCCGCACTTCCTACTTTCTTTGATAGGGCCTCTTCTCTCCCTTTAGGTGTGGACTTACTCTGTCAGTCTTCGAGCTGATTTCTGGGGTATAGGTGATCTGTTCCCTCGTTGCATTTATGGCATGAGAGGAGCTTAGGGTTCAGCTGCTCTGCCACCATCTTGTTATATTGTCTACTATAGCTTCTTAACTGATTTCTGTGCTCCCATCCGTTCCCCAGTCTTGGCCTTTCAAATGAAATAACCAGAGTGAACCTTTTAGAACCAGCAGATCACATTTCTCTCCCCACAGCTAACTAATGTCTTCCAAATCACAGTGTCCCATCAGAGTTCTCATGATGCCATGCCAGGCACATCCCTCAGGGCCTTTGTACATGCCCTTTTTCCTGGAATATTCTTTCTGCAGATGGAAAAAGACTTCACCCCTCTTCTCCTTTAAGTCTTTATTGAATGTTACATTCTTAGTGAGATTCTCTCTGACCACTTCTGTTCTCCTTGCTAATATCCCCATTCTTCTTTTCTGTTTTGATTTTCTCTACAGCAAGCACCACCACCCTACATTCTATATGTTTTACTTAACATAGGCTCCATTATAACGGGCATTTTTGTTTATTTATTCACTGCTGTACTTCAGGGTCTTCACATAGAAGATGCATATGTATGGTACATATGTATCAAATGAAATTTGGTAAATGAATTTAAAAATTGGCAAGAATAATAATGAAAGCAAAAAAGGACTGGAGCATGCATAACAGTCTCGTAGCTATTACGGGGAAGGATGGTCTTGAGTTCCGTAGGCCCAGGAATGAATGACCAGAGTACTTTGTATCTAGGATATGTATGGGGTCCATGGAGTATCTGACATTCCCATCACTTATTAAGCTGTTTATACTTGAACTAGGGCTTTTTAAAAATAATTTTACCTCTTAACAGGTGTTGACGTTGTATAAACGTGCTGTGATATGCTCTTAAAATTCTAGAAGAAGGGGGGAAAACTCTTAACATATATTGTTCTAATTTCTCCAGAGTAAGGTTTAAGCCCAATGTGTTTCTTTTTTTTCTTTTTTTTTTTTAAAGATTTTATTTATTTGACAGATAGATCACAAGTAGGCAGAGAGGCAGGCAGAGAGAGGAAGGGAAGCAGGCTCCCTGCTGAGCAGAGAGCCAGACGTGACCTAAGCTGAAGGCAGAGGCTTTAACCCACTGAGCCACCCGGGTGCCCCAAGCCCAATGTGTTTCTAATGACCTTTGTACATTTTTTGGATAAATCAGAAGCGTATGCCACACAAAATGCAAATGGGAAAAGAAAAGTATGGACAAGGAGAAAAGCTCATAGATTATAGTTATTATGAAAAAATTGCTTTCAAATTGTACCTGTGTATCTTCAAGAATTTATAGTCTTATAATAATAGCAAGGACTTCTGTGGTGCTTACCCTCAACGGGCATGGTTCTAAAAGCTTTACATATATAAACTCACTTCATCTTCACAGCATTTCTGAGGTATGTGATATCATTTCCATTTTATAGTGAGAAAATTGAGGTTTTATAGAGGTTTAATAATCTGTCCAAGATTATACAGTAAATAGTAGATCGAGGCTTCAAATCCAGGCAGTTTGATTTCAAAACCTCTGCTTGTCACTACTGTATTATGCTGCCAATGAGGACTTCCCCCTTTAATTTGAATCAGAGGTAGCAAAAGAAGATAGAGTACACAAGTGCTGGACACTTGATATATATCACTCTGTAGCACTGGGCAATCCCAGCAGTTCCTGAAAGGCTCAAAAAAAGAACCAGTCCCAGATCCAAATATCTCAGCTTTAGAAATTTATTTCGGCGTGGACATCTGAGTCCTGCAGCTGCTATGTTTGGTCTTTGTGTGGCCACAGGTGTTGGCTGTACTGCTAGGGCACATAATGGAGGATGACAAGGCGAGCATAGTGGGGACTGCCAGCCCCAGGAGGTAATGCCAAGTTTAATACTGAAAGTCAAACATAGGCACGTGCCAATTTTCTTATAAATGCATTTTTATTGAAGAAAAACAAAGATGTCTTCTAAAAAACATCATCTGTGGATGGATAAAGGATATATTGGCATAACAAACAGTAGCATTAGGGGGCTTAAGAAATAAAATTTCATTTAAAAACTGGGGGTTGAGAGTGATGAAATCAGAGTTATGTCAAGGAATGACCACTTGAATATCAAGTAAACAATAATCAGAATCTACATAGTTCTAGGATCTCAGAGTGCTTAGGTTTTCATGTAAAAATTTTTTCTTAAAAAAGAAAATCAAAGAAATAAACCACACCCAGAACCTTAAAAAAACAAAACAAGAATACACCTGGCACTTTCTGTGAATAGATGCTTCAGTGACCATAACATGTGATGCTTTGGTGAGAGGGGCCTAGAGCCTTCCTTAGGTGGGTTGAGTCATTCACCTGAATTGAACAAATGCTTGTGGATGATCAGATACACGCACCAGCACGATGACTTAGACTTGGATAGCAAAGAGAAATCAGAACACAGATCACTGTAATGGAAAGTGTACTCGGTAAGTAACAGAATCACCAAGACAATGTTGGCACTCAAGGGAAGAAGACCCTGTATTAGATTTGAGACCCAGACGGGCCCTAAGTAGAAGGTAGGATTTGAAATGGTGTCTAATAAGTTAATTTAGGCTTTCAACCAGAAGAGAGGGAAGGCATTCCGGGGAGAGGAAATTGAGTGATAAAAGGGAAGACGTGGATAGGTAAGTTTCAACATGATTAGCAAGCTGTCCACTGCTCAGTAACCTGAGAAGCTCAGAGTCTAGTAAGGGAGCTCTGAGCCGAGGGACAAGGACTAGCTCTTGTTCTGACTTATATAGCAGGTGTTTGGTTAATGTTAGATGAAAGGAAATGGCAGGTAGGTGAATTGTTAGGTGGAACAGAATGTATAATGGTATATGCGCAGATAGCCCTTATACAGTGTGAACTATGTTCTAAGGGAGGCACATCAAAGGCAGCAGAGGCAGGTCATTTTGCCTACAGAGTCTGGGGAGGCTTCAGGATGGTTGATTCTGGAGCTGAGTGGATCCTAAAAACTGAGAGGTTTCTAGATGAAGTGGGGGAGAAGGGTGTTTCTTTTAGGGAGCAGTGTGTACAAGAATGTGATCTGTCATGCAAATGGTAAATGACTGTGGCTCCAGAGAGGGTCCGCAGGAGAGGACTGGCTGAGAGAAGGGTGCTTGGGATGGAAGAGAACAGATAGTGCCACCTGTGGACACCGTACCAGAGATCCTGGGTCCTGTGTCCTAGGTATATGGGAGCCAGCATTTATTTTAAAGGAAAGTAGTGGCATGGGAAAAGTTTATACTTCAGAAATGTAACACTAAAGCGGTATGGAGAATGACCGGGGGTGGTGAGACCCTGCAGGCAAGAAAAACCAACCAGGAAATTACAGTGTGACATGTAAACAAGAAGATGAGCACACTAAAACCTATATCCATAAATGCTAAAAAGATGTCAAGTACATGAATCACCATAGTAGGCTGGCTTTAGTCAAAGTTTATCGTGTGGGATTTGGAACCAGATTTTATTTTAAAAGATTTTCATTCCTGTTTTAACTTAAAAGTAACAAGTTACTTTATCTCATGGATTCCTACTATGTATTAGAATATCTACAGAAGATGCTGGTGATAATATCAATGTATTCATTTTCTTTATGTCGTTATACATTATGTTACTGTGTGGTGTATCTGCACGATACCTAATTATTGCATGGATGATAAAGTACTCTAGTTTGCTCTAGCCTTGTAATGCATCTAGTATCTTGATGCAGGGAGAGTTTAGTAGGTGATGATGCCATGATTACCTCCTAACATTCCTTCTTTAAGGTGACTCTTCTGATTTGGCCATTTAGCAATTTTATGGAAAAAAAATAATTCCTTCTCAAGACTTTAATGTGTGAAGTGTGATTACCAGTATCACTTTCCCATTTACTGATGGTATATTTTTGTCAGATTTTATATATATTCTCTCTTAGTTTGTCTAGATAAATGTATTTGTGTGATTTAGATAAGTTTAGGTACTTGATCAGATTTTCTCAACCTCTTCACCTGTCTGCCCAAAATTCATCTTGAGTATTTTAGTACATGGTTTAAAAATATTCTCCAATTTAAAATCAGTTTTTAAATAAATAAAATCATCCAAATTTTTCTTATTTCCAGGATTCTACCTAGTCCCGGATAAAGACATAAAATGGGGTTAGTTCATTCCATTACAAATTGACCTAAGCTCTCCCTGCGGTGAGCGGTTCTTCTCCTTTTCTCTATTAAATCCCTATTATTTTCTCCAAAACTCTTATTCCAAATGTTTTTCCAGTTTTCAGAAATAGCAAGATGGACTTTTCTTCCCCTTGATTCTCTGGAGGTCAGGATACTTTTATTGAGGCCAATTGACATGAGCTCTCTCACTTTTCTATCAACATTGAAATGATCTGGATAGTCATTCATTTCCTCTGTGTTCTTTCTACCTTCAAGAAATCATCCTTGACTTAATTCGGGGCTAACCCTGTCCATGAGACCATGTTTTCCCTCATACTTGAAGATGTCTCTCTTCCATTATCTACTCCTTCTTTGACCATTAGCTTATCTCTTTCTGTCTATACAAATGACCAAAGTCTCCCTAAACTGTAAACAGTCACTCACTACCCTCTATAATCTGAACAGTCCTGAACCCTTGTGCAAAGTCTCTCTTCATTACATTCTGTGGAATATAGTCCACAGAGTTCTCGCTACATCTTCATCCTGCAGCTGTTTGTGGTTTAGGTTCTGCCTGCTCCTACCCTACTCCACAGAACTTAACTTTTTCAAAAATTAAATTTCAGCTTTCGAAACCCAAAGATGTTCCTGATAGTTCATACTCTTAAATGCTTCCTGTTTTTTATCCTCTTAAATCCCTCTTTGATACCTGACACTCTTTTGCACTATTTTTTGAAATACTGTGTTTTCAAGATCATCTTCAATGCTGTGTGTTGTCTGCCTTATGTTCCTGAGCCTAGGCATAAGTACCCTTCCCGCTGAGTCCTTACTACTCAGCTCTGCTCTCGCAGCATTCTTTCTGGAGCCATTTCTGCCGTTGTTCTAACTGTAATTTTGATCTGAATGATTCCTGGATCCCAGTCTATGAGCTCATGCTAAAGCTTCAGTCCCTGCTGTCAAACAAGTTCCTCTAAGAAGGTACAATGAACGCTTTTAAATAGACCAAATGCTGATTTATACAGCTTGTATACAGACACTGATATATTTAGAGTAAGGGTTCATGATGAAATGCATTTGTTTCAGAAGAAAAGTGTGTATGCCACATGGAGTATACACACACACACAAATTTGTGTAGGATGTATATGGGTCTTTGTTGTATTATTTTTATTCTTAAACTTTCTTCTAAGTTAAAATTACTTCCAAAAAATATTGTAAAAAATTAAGTGGGATATAGCTAAAGTTGTACTGAGAGGAAATTTCATAGCTATGAAGACATTTATCATAAAATAAAAGAAGTAAATACAAATAAACTTTCAACTTAAGAGACAGAGTAAGGGAGGGAGACACATGTTATAGGCCTAAATTAAACATTCAAAAAAAATTAAGTAATGCAGACAAGGGTAAAAGTGAGCATGCACAAGTAAGAAAGCTGCAGGGACTTCTTACTTAGCTGTTCATTACTAAATAGGTCTCCATTATCTCCTCCACCTCTCCTGCTCTTCCTTCTTCTCCTCCTTTTATTTTTCCTTTTTTCCCCCCTTCCTTTCTTTCCTTCTTTCTGCTTTAAACGTGCTTTTCTCCAAGTTTGCTATCAAAATTGTACTTTCTTTAAAGTGCAAGGTATTAAAAGATACCTAATGGAGAGACATGACCTACTTTGGAAATTGGAGAAAGTCTTTTCTGAGGCAGTGATGTGGGAGCCATCATTTAAAGGGTAAGTAAAGATCCTCAAGGCAAAAGTTCAGGAAAAGGTAGAAGAGAAGCAGGGATAAAGGTTTAACAAGAAAAAAAGCAAAATGAACATTCTCAAGAAAGTAAATTAAGTCCAGAGTAGGTGGAGCAGAGGGAGAAAGAAGAGATAAATCTAAAAGAAAAATAGCAGTGGTCCAAAAAAAGTAAGCTGTGTAACCATTTAGGAAAGCAACAAAGAAATAGCAGCTATATATTAATTTCATATAAAGCAAGTAGTTTTACTAAAAAGTTAACCAATTCTGTAATAGTCGAATTCATAACTAAATTCAAACCATGATGTTTAAACCATAAAATAGTACATTAAATGCATATATAATAAAAAAGCTATCAAAATAAGGAAAAAATTTTAAATATTACTTTTGGTTTTACAGACAGTAGAAAAGTATAGGGGATATTTGAATAATATATTTAATGTGTTTGTTTAAGAAACAAAATTATAAGAGAAAATATTCTTTTATTTTCTTTTATGAATTTTTTATGGAACATTTAATGAAAATAAGCTATATATTAAGTCCATATATGCAATGAAAACTAATAGATTAAAATAAATTTTCAATAAGGAAAGCCATATTTGTTGTAACAGAAGATACTATATAGAGAATATAAAATATATAATATGTACAAAAGATATAGAAGTAAAAATATAGAAATATAAAATATTAAAATTTTATATAATAGAAATATAAAATATACTATATAGAAAATATATAGAAGCAAAAACTTAATACAAATAAAAATTTATGTGAGTTTATAAAATAATAATCTGGAAAAAGAACTTGTAGCAAAGAGGAAATAAAAAAATTCAATGTCAAGCTCTGAAAAATAATGAAAAGGGGCACCTGTGTGGCTCAGTTGGTTAAGCATCTGACTTTGGCTCAGGTTATGATCTCAGGGTCCTGGGTTGAAGTCTGGCATCTTCATAGGCCTCCACGCTCAGCGGAGAGTCTGCTTCTTCTTCTCCCTTTGCTCCTCACCCTGTTCCTGCTCGCTTGCTCACTGTCTCTCAAATAAATATAATCTTTGAAAAAAAATAAAAATAATGAAAACAATAAAAGCTCAAAGGTGAACCAGAGCTATACTGAGATGTAAATTATAGCCTTAAATACTTTATTAAATAGTACAAGATTAAAATAACTTGACTATATACACAGCCTATTACATATACAATAAAAATGGTATTGAAGAGAAACTGGAAACATAACATACCAAAGATCAAAGCAGAAATTGAAGAAGTAGAAAAGCATTGAACTGTTAATGTCAAGAAATGATTTCTTCAAAAAGACAAATATGTTTTAACTCTTATCTGCAGATAGTATTCATATCCAAGGCTAATGAAAAAAATTTTAACTTGCATTGGATGATAGATGAGAAGTTGGCAGAAAGTAGATGCCTCCTTACCAGATGTGAAAATTTATAAGACTCAGACATTCAGAATACACACATTTGAGCCAAAATGTAGACAGCAATAAGTGAGAATATTATGTGTCTGGTCAACAAGTACAAGGATAATTTTCAACTTCACATGAGTCAATTAAGTTGAACTACCACGTACATCAAATTGGAAAAGGTCTTCTGCCGATAATGATTGTTAGCTCTGATGAGCATTTAGGAATTAGGCTCTCTTAAATACTGTCCCTGGTAGTTCTGTAGTTCTGTTCATGCCAGTTTTCTTGAGAAAATTAGGCAGTAGAGATCAAAACCTATACTCAGAACTTCACTTGTCAAAATTTTCCTAAGGAAATAATCTGAAATTTGCATGAGGACTAATAACTGAAAATGCAACAGAAATAAGATAAAAGTTTATAATTATTTAATAATAATTTTCATTGGGTATTTATTGAATCTTACAGTACATGCCAAGTGAGCATTTTATGAATAGTATCTCACAGTTTCATCATAAAATGAGTGTTTTTCCCATTTAAGGAAGAAGAAACAGATTTAGAGAAGCCAAGAATGTTGTCCCAAATCATATGAGTGAATCAATGATCCAAGAATTGTTACTCTGACAATAAAATCTCACTTAATCACAATGTTAAAATACTCATCATTGTGGGGCACCTGGGTGGCTTAATGGATTAAAGCCGCTCCCTTCGGCTCAGGTCATGATCCCATGGTCTTGGGATCAAGCCCCATGTCAGGCTCTCTGCTCAGTGGGGAGTCTGCTTCCCACCCCCCGCCGCCCCCCGTCTGCCTCTCTGCCTACTTGTGATCTCTGTCTGTCAAACAAATGAATAAAATCTTTTTTTTTTAATTTTATTTATTTATTTGACAGAGAGAGATCATAGGTAGACAGAGAGAGAGAGGGGGGAAGCAGGCTCCCCACTGAGCAGAGAGCCCGACACGGGGCTCGATCCCAGGACGCTGGGATCATGACCTGAGCCGAAAGCAGAGGCTTTAACCCACTGAGCCACCCAGGTGCCCAAACAAATGAATAAAATCTTAAAAAAAAAAAAAAAATACTCATCACGGGGCACCTGAGTGGCTCAGTGGGTTAAGCCTCTGCCTTCAGCTCAGGTCATGATCTCAGGGTCCTGGGATCGAGTCCCACATCAGGCTGTCTGCTTGACGGGGAGCCTGCTTCCCCTCTCTCTCTGCCTTCTTGTGATCTCTCTCTCTGTCAAATAAATTAAAAAAAAATCTTTAAAAAAAAATACTCATCGCTTATGACAGCAAGAGAAATATAAATATCTTAAATATACATCACCAGGATTTCAAAAGTCATATTGAATCCATATACTATGTAGAAATGATTAATAATATTTTAGGAATATATCACACTTGTCTCAACATTAAGAAGAAAAATTGGTGGGAAAACCAGCATATTCTTTGTGAGATAGATAGATGATAGATAGATAGATCTATACACCAGATAGCCTACAATTGAATTCTCAGTCTACCACTAACCTTATAGGGTTATGGAAATTCAATGAGATAATTTATGTAAACTCCTTAACTGCTTATCAGAATGCCAGACACATAGTAAATTTCAAAAAAGCATACACATCTCCAATGTCAACTATGCTCTCCCTGGTCTCTGAGAACTAGGTCAAGCTGCTTGGCTTGGAAGGTCTCAATGATTTTCAAACAGATCTGAGGACCTTAAGAGTTTCCTGACTCCTGCATTCAACATGCCACCCTTTCCTATGTGGCAGAGGTCCAGATGGGAAACCAATCTCACTAAACATTGTGAGTGGACTTTACTAAAGTACTTGGGGTTGCAAAGAGTGGTAATACCAAGTACCACCAGTTTAAAATAATAATTATCAGTAATCTCCAATCATATTTTAGACATGCCTATTGCACGATTTTCTACTACCACCACACTAGCTAGAGGTCGTCCTGTCCCTGCATCCATACGGCACCTTGTCTCATCCAAGGAGGACAGTGTGAGGCTTTCTCAGAGGCTTTAGTGCCAGCCAACAGCTAGCATGTAAGCACACACCCATCACATAGAATGTTACACATGAAAACCATGTACCAAGTGTCATCAGTGCTGCTTATCTTTGGAATTGAGCTTATAGATGATTTTAATTTTTCCTCTATACTTTATCTTGTAATTTTTCTTCAGTGAATAAATAGTGCTTATAGAATTTGAAAAATAATAATGTTCTTTTTAAAGATTTTATTTATTTGAGAGAGAGAGAACAAGTGAGGTGGGGCAGAGGCAGAGGGAGAAGCAGACTCCCAGCTGAGCAAGGAGCCTGATATGGGACTTGATCCCAGTGCCCCAGGCTATGACCTGAGCCAAAGGCAGCCTCTTAACTGACTGAGCTGCCCAAACACCCAGCAATGCTTTAAAGTAAAGGGAGATGGTACATAATAAATTTAAGGAAATATTTTTTTGGAGCACATGTTTTGTTTTGTTGTTAATTGCCACTTAGTTACATGTTTAAGTTAGCTAGAACTTTTTATTTACATGGAATAATTTACGAAGTAACCCAATAATGGCCCGCAAAGGACGGTATGAGAGTGTTTCGCTTCCCAGGGAGATGAAACATTCTACTAAATTCGTGTGTCTTGCCTTTCATTAAATAAAAGCGATATTCATATGATTAAACTAAGTCCCCATTCATTTTAATACATAACCATTCAGGGGGCGCCTGGGTGGCTCAGTGGGTTAAGCCTCTGCCTTTGGCTCAGGTTATGATCTCAGGGCCCTGGGATCGAGTCCTGCACCGGGCTCTCTGCTCAGCGGGGAGCCTGCTTCCTCCTCTCTCTGCCTGCCTCTCTGCCTGCTTGTGATCTCCGTCTGTCAAATAAATAAATAAATAAAATATTTAAAATACGTAACCATTCAGGAAAATCCTTAAAGTTGTTTGAATGGTGCCCAAAGTAACACATTATTCGAATAGCACAGATGTTTTTAAGCTCCCAGGTATCGTCAGGATGAAGCCTGCATTCACTGAAGTACGAGAGAAGAGCTGGGAAAGTTCAGTTTCTAGAACCTCTCCCGGTTGCACAGGGACAGCTGCTCACTCCCTTGGTTTGGTCATAGGAGCAGCGGCGCACAGCAACTATCCCCAAAGCATGATTCATTACGACTCTTCACTTGAAAGCAATGGGAAGTGAGGGCGGCTGGCGGCTGGTGTTTTCATGGGTCTGGGGGCAAGAGTGCCTAAGACTCGGGAAGGGACTGGGACCCAGAACTGAAAACCCACGGGGCTAGGCAGTGCGAACCCTTCTACTTCATTCATATTTTCAGTCACAGTTGCTGTGTGTCAGGGGAGGTCAAGGACCGTCACTCCACCAGTAATGATTTGTGAGACTAAGCCAGACAGAATGGGGTTAGGTCCTCTTAGTTTTTATTCTAAATTTGTAGAAAAGAGAATTCATTCGGCCCAGATTTGGGAAGGAATTCCCTTAGTCCAAATACCTAAATTCAGTAGAATCTTCATGTGTAGTTTATTCCACTCATGCTTTTAATACCCTTCTAGTTTTGGGTACCTGACATCATTTCATTATAAATTCAGGGATTCTGTCTTGTAGGTTGGATGTTCAGAAAATGGGATCATTGTGTGTAATGTGTGGATCCCTAAAGATGCTTTTTGCAAAGATGCATGCACATCTTTGACAAATGCCTTTCTGGTTTTATTAAGCAAATGCAAATAAAATCTTTAAAACACTAAGCAAAAGGGGAGATATTTAAGACACCAATCAAACATAAGAAAACATTATTAAAAATCCCATCAATTTTACAGAATGTAGAGCTCAGCTCATGCTCTATTTATAAGATCATGGTAAGCTATCTACTTAAAAAAGAATAATATTCACATTTACATGCAATAGCTCACATTTACTGCATTTAAATCCAGTCATAATTTGAAAGCTATGGAATGTCTTCTTTCATTGTGGCTTCGACTGACCAAGTGGTTTCTTAAAGCAATGTAAGCATTAGGAGAATGACATTACATAGCTGTGGCTGCTCCTGGGTCTACCCTAGCTGCCGGCCTCAGTGGCCTCCTCCATGTGGTCTTCCCCCTGCTGTAAAAGCCTTCTAAAAATCCTTTTATTGGGAATATCACTTGACCACTTACCAAGAGCAGGGGGAGAAAAACCACGTTTATAGAATACCTTTGTAATTGAGGTGTGACAGAGGCTCTGTTGCTTGAAGAAGAAAAGCATTAGACTGGAATAACAAACATGAAATATTCCAGTCTGATAGATTAGATTTAGTAAGATCAGATTTAAATAGATTTAATTAGATCAGATTTAATAATCGATGATTATTAAAATAATGATCTGATTCCTAGATCAGTTTTAAAATTGATCCTCTATTCAAGTAGCTGGTAACTGCTGATCTTTATTTGTACTGATTTCATTATAGGGATTTTAAAATTGGCATTTTTCTCTCTCTAGTGTAACATTGCAAGGGCCCTGGCAGGGAGGGTGCTCTCACCTGTGTGTCCACGGTTCTGCCACTGCATGTACTCATCCTGTCTGCACACTCCTGTACAATTGGAGTCTGATTTGTTTTTACACGAGTTTCTGGATAAAAAAATTGCATACCTAATTTTATTTTGTTTTATAATTTCTGGGGTACATCTCATTTTGGTGATTATTTTGGCT